GTTCTGCCCAGGGGGGATTTGATTTGAAGTCCCAGAAGGAATATTAAGTCACTAAACTATTTCCTCTCTCTAACAGAATAAAAAAGGAGGGTTTGGGAGGGGGAGAAGCAACACGCAGTGCGACAGTCTGTGGCCGGAGGGCACCGCAGCGAGCCCAAGCAGGCAGCTCAACAGAAACCCTCTTCAGCCTCATCCCCACTACAACCATCATGGGGATCTTGGCGATGAAGTCAGGAGTCAGCGTGACAAACTCCTGGAATGAGATGCAGGAAAATCCTAGTGCACTGCCGGAGGCTGGCCGTGCTGTGCATCCATCACATGATGCTCAGGAGCGTCTGATGTGTGGCTAGTGATGAGAAACGTGGTGGAAAAGTCTCACATGATGCTCAGGACATTTTGCTTGGCTTTCTGTGGGGCTGAGCCTGCGGCGGGGGGGGTGGGGAGGGACCAGAAAGCCGCTCCTCTGAGGGCTCTTTTCTCGCCTTTGCCTCTGGCAAAATCAGATCACCCAGTTCAGTAAGAGAAAGAAAGCAATTAAAAGGTCTTTTATGGTGGGATGCAGCCTTTTGCCTGTTCTGCACTTCCCTGGATGTGGTGAGCCCCTACACTCCCAGAATGGCCAGCACAAGCCCCTTGAGAAGTGGGGACAGGGTGACTCTGAGCCTCTCCTTGTCTCCTCCCCACAGTGCTTAGAACTACATTCATTTTTCTGTATCTTTCCATGGGTTAGTCTGTCAGCTTTTCAAAGTGCCTGGCTCTGGGTTTTGCTTGGTGCCTTGGAGCTCTTTGATGAAAACGGAAGTCTAGGAAAAACACTGCAACAACCTGTGTGGATGCGATGCTTGAGGAGCCTTGAAGTCAAGAAAAGCTGGGTCCCAGCAGCAACATAGCGTTGGTCAGACCTTCTCCACTTGCTATTTTCTGTGCTTTTTTTTGAGGGACAAATATATAACCAAATATACTACTGCTTATTAAATGTGTACCTTCAGACAGGCCACACATCTGCCCAATTAATGTGTCTCTTGGGGACTTAAGGAAACCCCCTCAACCTAAAAATCTAGTTACTTCAAGTGCTGTTATCTGACTTAAGCAGCCTCACTGAAGAAATGAGGCTGCTGAGGTGCACAAAGCTCGGGCTGGCTGGCTGGTTTTTGTTGCTGAGTGTGGGAAAGCAGCTGATGATCTGCCTCCATGGAGCAGAAGGATGGGCTGCGTTTGGGAGCATCGGGATGCAGGGCTTTGTGCCCGCCTCCTGTCTGCCTTTGGACAAGTCATTTCCCTGCATCTCAGTGCTCAGTCAGCAGAAGACTCCTGTCATCTTCTCCTCACCTCCTCTCCACAGCTGGATGCGTATTGTGGACCATTTTATGAGTGGCTGTAGGTGAGACCTTGTGCAGCGAGGTTTTGCTTTGTCAAATGAGTAGAAGGAACAAGCATCAGTAACAGCGAGGGGCAGGAGGCTTGTGGCAGTGCTGTTGGTAGCTGGCATTTCTTCAGGAGTGCTGCAGATGTGGTAGGAATGGGAATGTGAATGCTTCACCCCTGCAGACTTGCTGCTTTGTTTATAATTCGAGCAGCATTCATACTGCACCTGCTGCCTGGATCATCTTTGCATGGGAATGGATTGTGAGATCAGGGAAATAAAAAAAACTTGCTCTCTCTAAGATGACTTGCTGCACCAGTGAGCTCCCACTCACTCGCCCCTGTACCGACAAGTATCTGCCATGGATTAAGTGTGCAGCAGTTTCTGTTGAGGGGCATGAGACCTGGGATCTCGTAATTATAATTTTCTTCTAGAAAATTGTTTATCTCTGCACCTGTTGCAGCAGCTTCTGGGTACAGACATCATGGGCATAAAATGGGTGACGCTGCCTGCCGGCAGCAGCAGCAATGGCCTCTTCTGCTGTCCAGCTCTGCCTCTCCATCTGAAACCTCTGGTTTGAGCCTGCCCCTTCTTGCCCAGTTGGTGTTATCCAGTCCAGGTCAAGGCTTCTGTGCACAGCAGATCCTCACAGCGTTTTGCTGTGCCATGAGGGTGGTGGTAGGCTGGCAAAGGGAGCAAGCCCTCTCCACTGCCTCTAACCTTGTCCTCTCTGCAGCACCAGGGAGCAGAACATGGACCAGAACTGATACCAGTGGTGAGGAAAACATGGAGGGAAGGAGACATCCATTAAACTACTGTGCTTTGGTCTGTAGGAGACTTTCCTAAGGACAAAGAGTACTTTGGAGTGGCTGTTTCAGGATGTAGAAGATAAGCATATGTGGTGAGTTGTTCTGCTCACGAGTGAGAAAACCCTTAGTGAAATCTGCCCAGAAAACTGCTAAGATGCTTGCCAGTAAATGATACCTTGGGCATCTCCAGGCTGCAAAACAGGTTTCTCTTAATAGGAGAGCTGTGGCATCTTGGCTGACCAAGGCTTAAGAATGGAAGTTAGGAATGCCACCTCTGCTTGAAAATTAGGGAGATTAGGGAAATTAGGAGATGTCCCTCTGGTCTCATGACTCTGAGCTGTGTCTTTATGATGTGCCAACATAAAAAGGTATGAAAGAACAAAGGCAAAAGAATAATTCTGTTTCTTTCACCTGCAGATGAGAGCTCTTCCAGGCCAGCAGCAAACCCAAAGATAAGAGCAGAGGGAAGATGTGTATCAGGATATGAGCAGAGTAAACAGAGGTGTCTCTGGGGAGAGAAACATTACAGAAGTTCATTCATCCAAAATGACTGAGCAGAGACTCGCAATACAACCCATTGTAAGGGCTGACCTGACTCAGGGAGTCAACGTTTTACCAGTTTTGAGTCCTAAACCAAAATCTAACACCAGACTATGCCGCTTTTGAGACTGTTTCTCATCTTCCAAAGAGAAGATACACTTTCTGTCTAATGCTGTGAAGAACAGTGCACTTGCTTTGTAATCCCAGTCTGTGGAGGTTGGTACTTCAGGTGGCAGCACCGGTGTTGGTCACAGCCCCACATTGGGATGTGCCTTCAGGTGTCTGTCAGCTCCTTCTCAGGTTAGAGGAACACGGTGATACTGCTGATGGTCCTAGGCAGACCTGTCAGCCCAGCCTGTTGGGAAGGTGTGTGAGACTTCTCACCAGGAGAGCCTGGCTGGAATTGTGTGCAATTTTGCTGCTTTCCAAAGTGTTCAGGCTGAAATTTTGAAGACCAGACCTTTGCTTCAGGCAGAAGAGATTTTTATTTAATTTTCATGGGCAGTTTCTGTGGAGTATGATCAATCTTGACTTTCCAGAAGAAGGAGGACTAGGAGAAATCACTTGTTTTACTTCTAAGCTTGAAAAGCTCTTCTGAACTTTCGGAGAACCCATACAGTCCCCACTGGCTTCCAGCTTTTTTAGTTTGCTCTAATGTGTCAAAAATATGCCCCCAACTTCAGCAACCCGAGTGTGACCCAATTATGAGCCTTGGGGTGAAAAAATAATATTCATATAAGTTGATAGTTTTTAGAGTTTGACAGCTGAAATGTGGTCAGCATTGAGTGTCTGCCTAAGAGTTTCTGGGGACTGTGAGTAAGGTTTTTCCTCTTGTTCTTGATGCCACAGGTCAAAGAGCAGAGGTCTGTGTGGTGGGGCTCAGGCATCCAACCCCACTGATGACAGATGGTGTAATGGCTTGGCATTAGTCAATAGTTAATTTCACTGCACTCACAAAGCTGCTTCTCTGCTTTCTGGGTTGTCTGCCATGTCCTCTTCTGGTGCTTGGTTGGGTTAAGTGGTACTGGAGTCCTTCTGACCTGGCAAACCCTCAGACCTACCTCTACTCCCTGCAGGAGGCTTGGCCACCTCATCTTCATGTGTGCTACTTCTCCTTGGGTCCTGACTGGGTGGTGGTTTCAAGGGTGCCAGGCTCCTGTTGCACCAACAACTCCCAGGCTAGCAAGAGTGCCCTGGTGACTTCCTAGTGCACGTCATATGTATGTTCACCCCATGCCTGAGGTCCCATTTCCCATCTGCCCGGGGCCCTCACAGGCAGCCTGCAGGTAGGCTGTTCCTAGTGAGGGTCTCAAGATGCCCTGCAAATAGAAGTCTGTACACACTGCCTTAATCTTCCCCTTTTTCTCCTGTGGCTTGGAAAGGAAGCTGTTTATTTGAGATGCAGGACTGGGGCTGCTGTAAATAGCTCTCTGCTTTGGTGAACCTGCTGTGTCAAAGAGGGACAGCCTTGTGGCAGGCGACAAAGGCTAAGCCCGTGAGTCAGGATTAGACCAGCAACTGTGGATTATGGCATTTCTACCTAGACTCATCCTTAATTCTACCTGATTTAGAATAACTTGCAGCGTCAGTGACAGTGTCGGGCAGGGAGGACTTGTGGTGGCCCGGCCAGCTATACCTGGAGGGGGGGTGTTTGGCCTGTGAAATCCACGGGGAAGGCTGGAGGGTATTGGCATATGGGTGAGTGGGCAGAAGGACAGGTGATGTCATCGGCTGGGCTGATGGAAAACTGGTGGAGAGAGAGGTGTGATGTGCAGGGAGATGGGGAGAGTGGGAGCTCAGCAGAATGGAGCTGCAGAGCAGGCAGGGCTGTGGATTGTGGGAGGTTGGGTGGGGAAAAGAGCATAGTAGCTGCATAGATAAAATTAGTGAACGAATGCCTGGGAGAAACAATGAATTCCTAGAAGGGAAAGGAGTGGGTGGGAGAATGAGTGCAGTCTAAGATTTCCACTACTTGGAGCCCTTGTATGCAGGCAACCACACCAAAACCATATCCAAATTTACACTCCGTGTTGCCTCCCTGTGTGTCCGTGTGAAGCCACCCTTACTCCAGGTTGCAACTGCTTTACATTGCTTTAGATCAGATGGATAAAAAGGCTCAAATCTAAAAGTGTCCTGTTTTATGTTCATCCTCAGAAGTAAAATGGGACTTTCTTCCCAGTAAATTCCCTATGGCTACAGCCCCGGCAAGGCAGTGGGATGGGCGCTCAGCAGAGCAGAGAGGTGCCTATGAAGGATGTCTGTCCCCTGCAGAGCTCTGGTCCAGAGAGATGGCGCTCAGCCTAATGTGTCTCCTTCCCCGCCAGGTGTTCTCCATTGTGGTGTTTGGCTCCATTGTCAATGAGGGGTACGTGAACCGCCTGGACGAGGAACAAGAGCACTGCATTTTCAACCGCAATCGCAATGCCTGCAACTACGGCATCACCGTGGGTGTCCTCGCCTTCCTCAGCTGCCTTCTCTACCTGGCTCTGGATGCCTACTTCCCACAGATCAGCAGCGTCAAGGACCGCAAGAAGGTAGTGCTCTCGGACATCGGAGTCTCGGGTGAGCTTCCTGGCAGGTTGGCCCTGGTGCCCCCCTCTTCTCTGCCAGCAAGGAAGAGGGAGGGAGCTCCTTCCACCTAACATGCCAGGTCCATGCTAGCAGTCTGGTTTCCTTGCCCCCTCAGGCCTTCTCTTTCTCTCCTTTCTTTCCCTTTCTGTTTTTCTCAGCCAATCTGGCTGATGCCTCTGTGCTGTTTTCCATAGGCAGAGCTCAGGGAGCCCTTTAGGATCAGCAGGTCTTGCCTCCTTGCATGCTTGTGCTTGCTAAGGCAAAGTGTTGATGGCTCTGGAGATGGTACGTCTTTTCCAGCTCCAGGTGATTGAGCCCATACATTTTAACATGAAAAAAAACGTTGAGGGTTTAATGTAGGCTGACTAAACCAGTCCTCCTAGGTTGCCTGGCATTCCCCATGTGATTAGCTGTACAGGACCTGAGCCTTATTCTAACTTACAGTCAGATCTTTCCATCCCCAGTAGCGTGTTGAAATGACAGACAGCGTGATGGTGCGTGTGTCCATGCGTGGGTAACACCAGCCAGCAGCAGTGTGAGCAGGCACTTTGCTCTCGTGCTGTGATCCTGAATCTCTCTCCTGGCTTACTCCAGCCACACAGGCAAACTTCTCCACGTCAGGGTCCCCCCACAGTTTGTCAGAGGGGCCATGAGTGGAGTGAGAGCAGGATTAGGTGCAGCCTCTGAACTTGTTTTGGACTTCTGGCTTGCAAGTTTGTTCACAATTAGCCCCTTGCCTGGCAGTCTAATGTACAGCTAACAGGAGAAGGGGAAGGATTGAGCCCTGTTTTGCTGCCACTTTGGAATGCCCATTTCCTTTGCTGCCAGGTATCTGGCTGTGCCTGGTGAGTTCCAGTCCTTACCATCTGCTGATCTGGTCTCAGGGCTCCCCCCTACCTTTACCCCTTTCATTTTGTGCAGCACGTTAATGATCCTTAAGCACCTTTCCTTGGTGTGACCCCCTTAGCCTGTGCTGCTCAGAGCCAAAGCCAGTCCTGCACAACAGCAGACCAGCTGTTTCCCACTCTTCTGCAGCTCCCTTGGAAGGAATTGCTCTTTGCTTGTCCTTGCAGGACAGGGCTGTGAAGCAGTGGCTGTTGCAGAGAGCCCAGGTGATTGCTCCTGTACTGAAAGCCCTTCAGGCTCCCTCCCAAGGCCAAATGCAAGTCCTGTGATCAATCCAAACACAAGCAAATGAACTCTCCTGAGGTACTTTCTGCAGACACCTATTGTCACCTTGAAAATATAGCTGTCAGCAAGCCTGCCAGCTCGTCTGGGATTAGACAGGCTGCACAGTCAGGGTTTGGCCCAGTCTGCAACACACTGATGGGTCTCGTAGGGTTGAAGTTTCCAGAGAAATGTGATGCGTTTATGTTCTATTCACACATGTCTTCTTGATGTCTCTTTGGCATGCTGGTGGTGGTCTGTCACAGCCTTTTGGGCATTCCTCTGGTTCGTTGGCTTCTGCTTTCTGACCAACCAGTGGCAAGCTTCAAAAGAAGAGGACAACCCAATGAATGAGGGAGGGGATGCAGCCCGAGCAGCCATCACGTTCTCGTTCTTCTCCATCTTCACCTGGGTGAGTACAGCAGCCGTGATATTGGATCAAGTGTCCTCTGCACTCTAGTAGCTTGTGGAGAATGGGAAGTGACTGGCTAAGAGTGATTCCCTCTGGGATCTCAGTTCACATGGCCTCTGAGAAGGAAAAGCAGGAGGGGAGATGGTTAGGACGTAAACTTGGGAAACAAGGACTCAGAAACTTACATGGAAGAAGGTGCTAGATCATTAATAAGCACCAGGGAAAAGAGGGTCCCATATCCCAGTAAGGAGTGTCCTTGACAAACCTGTGATATGACCTTGGGCAAGCCAGCTCCCCGAGCATCATTTTCCCTCTTTGTAGGAGGACTTTAACTGCATTTTCACCTCACAGATGGTAAGCAGGGAACATGCATGTCCCTCCCTGCTTTGCTCCCACCATGTGAAATGTCATCAGTGGTGACAAGAAGGTGTGGTCCATGTCCTTTTGGGCTCTCCCTTTGCAGGCACCACTGCAGTGCTGCCTCATTGGGTCCCCTCTTAGGAAGGTGGTAGTGCTGTCTCTTAGGACTGCCTTTTACACAGATGTTCTTTGCTAGTTTCCTAGAAAAACAATGGTGTGCAATCTATATATCCCTCATGATTTCTTCCCATCTCTGAAGGCACCCAGCCCACGTAATTTTTGTCCGAAGTAACAGCACAGTGCCAAGCAGGAAAGCATTTTAGGCCAGTCTCCATGTGTCAGTCCTTGTGGCTTTATCTTCTCTTCCCCTTATGGGCCTTAAAACTGGGCAGGGGCCAGGTAGGAAAGGTGCCCAAGACCACAAAGCTGCCAGAGAGGAAGGTGGGGCTGCAAAGGGTTGTGCAGTCAGCACCCTCACCAAGGTGACACCAAGCTGGGACAAGGGACAGCAGCATGTCATGTCCCACATGCGAGTGCTGCCAAAAGCCCCTTGCAAGCTCCAGTGTAAAGTGTGACAAGAAGCAAGGTTTTTGCAAGGGGTCCCTCAGGACCCTTTTTGAGGTGCCACCACAATCCTCACAATGCATGGGCTTGCAAGTGGCTAAAGAGGCATCCTCTGCTGCCAGTTCCTTGCGTTTTTTATTTCAGTCAAATGCTCTGGTTTGCTCTTCCTTACTGATTCTCCTCTCCACACCCATCTCTCTCCTCACAGGGCTCCCTCACATTTCTGGCTTTCCGGAGACTCAGAGACATTACTTTTCAGGAAGACTACAACACCCTGTTCCCTAACTCCCCATCCTTGCTGCCTTAGTGCCCCTTGCTGATGGGGGAATTTGGGGGAAGAGGTGAAGGGATGCAACTGGAGGAGGTTACTGAGCAGACACAGTTCCAACGCCCCAACCATGGGTGTGTGGTCACTGTAGGGCACTGGGTGGGAAGACATGGGCCATTGAACTGGAGGGGGGTTGTCCACTGTATGGGGGATGTCCCTCTGGGGAGTTGGAACTGGTAGTTTCTTCTCCTCCTCCTCTGCTCCCTTCATTCCTTCCCCTGTACCCTAACTAATGCTGCATAACAACACTGTGCCTTTCTTTTGATTACTGCTCAGACCTAATACAAGAGCCAGAAGATGCCATCTGCCCCCACCACTTTATCTCCTCCATTTTCTCCCAGCCCTCATTCCCCAAAAACCTCTCCCCCCATCACCTGCTAGACTGCTCGCCTCTATCAGGGATGCTCTGGGACAACAAACCATGCCTGTTGGGGTCTGGAATGCTAAACCCCGTGCCCAGGCTCCCTCAGTCCACCCAAGGGTGTCCTGTCTGCAGTGCCCGGGGCAGGAGGCAACAGTACACTTGCTAACTATCCCCTGGTCTGGGAAGCAGCCACCTTGCCTCTTCCTGCTCCTTCCCAAGGTCTGTGCTGCATGGTGCAAATGTTGGCCAGTGAAGGGGTTACAGGGGGTGATCACTACCTCGCTACTCCGGGTCAAATCCTGCTCTCCTTCCTGGCCTCTGCAGGCATAACAGCTGCATAGATCCAGCCCAGCATTCCAACCTTCTGTGGTGCTGCTGAGGTGGGTTGCCTTCCCAGGGGCAGGAGGGGCTGAACGGGATAACCACACGCCAACTGAGCCTCTGCGACCTGTGCCACCTCAGTGAAAGCCCACCACTGGGCAGGAGGTGCTCAGCACACCATTCCTGCCCACTCCTCCTCTCTCCCAGCGGACTCCTCCTTTCTGTGGAGCAGCCTGAACCTTCATGCCCTCGGGGGTGTTTCACCAGGGGTCTGCCAGGTGGGCCTCGCACACTAATCCGTAACCAGTACTAACCCCACTTTTGTTTGTTTCTCTTTCTCGGTACGTTCCCCCTCTCTTCCTCCCCTCCCCTCTCTGCTTCCCATCTCTTCCCTCCACCTCCTCCCTCACAGGTGGGCCAGGCATTCC